TGGATTGCCATTTTGTTGTCTATTAGATGTATATATGTAGTCGTTTAATAGCTGTCTATTTGATGACTAGTCTATTCTAGGGCTATGATTAGATTTCTATTAGATTTTCACTGACAGCCCAAATTCAGCCTTGTTGTAGCCTAAACCCATATTGACCGTCTATTAGACGTATGTAGTCAATTAATAGCGGTCTAATTGATGACTAGTCTATTCTTGAGCTATGATTTAGACGTCTATTAAATTTTCACTGACAGCCCAAATTTAGCCTTGTTTTAGCCTAGACGTCTGGGCTGTGTTTAGACGGCTAATAGACGTCTTTTAAACACAAAATTGCTTGCTGGGATCCAAGATGACACAATCGTGCTAATCAGGATCTGGCTAATTCGGTTCTTCGAACGCACCTGTTGTTGATGATTAGTATAGCTGGATTGAGTTATCTGAGATAATTCCGCATTCATGGGTTGGTTTAAAAGGGGCTTTGTATCAATACTCGAAACCACGATCAGCAATGCAGCGATTGGCTGGCGGCAAGACCGCAACATAATGACATCATAATTAAAAAAGACACCTGACGAAAAACGTGACACATTTCTGGACTTTTATAAGGAAACAGCCAAACGAACAAAACTACACAGATGTTATAATAGATAAATGAAATGTGCACTGTTTTTATTTTATTTTATTACATGATTCCCAATTATTTATAGTCACGATTTCTAATATTTGTACAGGCTTTACATTTTTATTTCAATGTAGTAATTAGCAACTCATTTAATTTGATATCTGAACAGATTTGTTACGTGACAGCATTAACTGGCTGTGTCTGTAGTATTAAAGACTACACAACATTATATTATCTTTAAATACATTTTAAAGATTAGTAGGGTACTCTTGTAATAAAGTAGCGGTGGTAGAGGACAGATTTTAAGTATCAATTCTGCTTAAAAAGATGCAATCTAATCCTGTTTACATGAAATAAACCTGCTCCCGAACAAGTTTAAGCTTATGGACCTGTTGCTATGACAGCAACTCTGGGATTTGCTTCGAAGAACCAAACAATCCAAGATCATACCAAATCGTCAACAATCAAATCCAGCTAACTGAGTTAGCGACGTACGAAGAACGGGCCCCTGTATGTAGGATGAGGAAAACAAGCAGGAATCATGAACTCAGAACATTTACTAAAGACAAAGTGTTCTCTATATGTCCAATAAAAGACATCCGATTCACAACATTCAAATTTCAAGCACCTAACTGAGCATAATGTACAATAAAGAAACACTATTATTATATAAATAAACAGAAAATTCAGTTAATTTAATTGATTATATGATTATAATAAACTGCAATATTAGATACGATTTGTTCTAAACATTGAGTTCTGTCATTTAAATAATTTAGGAAAAAATTAAATAATGTGCTGTTATTATTTGTAAGCCAAAATGTAGATTTCAGATTTTATGTGCATTACATGTTATTACAAATGCCTGCAAAGGGAGCCAAAGGCCATGTAATTGCTGCTGCTACAATTACAGGACAATCAAACTCTTGTCGGCTATTGACCAAACATTTAATTCAAATATTCACTTAATCTTTCATTTTTGGCCACCTTTTTGCTATACACAGCTATGACACAGCCTCTATAATTTCTTAAACAAAAAACATGTGGACATCACAACCCTTACAAAAATTAACCATGGTTTTATCGTAGTAAAACTGCTTAATTTTCTTTTGCATGATTTCTGAATGCTTGAGACTATAAAATCAATCAGACAACTGTATTAATAAAATCATAGCCATAGGTAACTGTCTAGATTTATCGTTTGTAAATAATACAATTTATTTACTTTATATTTTATTAAAGTTCTATTTTGACCCCTATAGTAGGTGTTTTTTTTTTTATTACATCCATAATATTTGATGGAGGGGGCACAACAATACAATCCTGCTTAGGGCACCCATTTGACCAGCAGCGGCCCTGACATCAATGATTAGTATGTTTAATTAGGATTTATGTAAATTTAGGGTGTAATATGAATTTGTTGTTAGCTTGATAAAGTTTAAATATAATACTTTCTTAAATGAAGGCTTGAAACGCATTTTGAACATATTTTGAACTGTGATGTGCAGCTGTTGAATTTGTGCACAGAGCTGCTGTAGGTGGACTTTATATAAAAAATACAAAATAAAACTTTTTGTACATTGCACATGCTGAAATTTGCTGATAATAGAGTAACTGAATTTTTCTTTCGTTTTTTTTTGTCAAAACTCCATTTAAAAGATCTGTAATGACGTCATAGATATCTTCAATAGACGCCTCTATGGCAAGCCGTTTTAGCATTAAGTACCTCTTGCTGTACTAGTATGGCAAGCCGTTTTAGCATTTATAACTTTGCTTTGAGTGCAGTGTGAGTTTGACTGGAGCGAGGAGTGGATTTTTTAAAAGTCAGAGTGTCGTGGGTTTCACTCGCTCCAAGAGCGCTCCACCACCGCTCCATCACGAGTACAATTCATGCCAACAGCCCGTAATATAACTGCATATTTAGCAAAAATTCACATGTTAAACATTTAGCTAGCTTGATAGAGATGGATCACTCAAATCAGAAAGACTGTGAAGGCTATGATGACAGCAATGGACATGAGCGGGATTTTTTTTTTTATTATTATTATTTTTATTTTTTTGTCGTCCGGACCTTTGCTTGGAAGAAAATATAGAGGCCACGCCTCTTGGAACTTCAATTGAATACCCCTGATTTATATCATAAAGAAATACTTTATTTGTATGGTTTTGTAATATCTGTGTCAAATATTTCCTTATGTGTCATGGTAGATCGGACTCTTATTATAGAATTTGATTACAGAAAAACTGTCTTGAACATGGTAATGGATTAAAACATATAAGTAACAGGCTGGATGTAACTTAACCTTACATCTTAACACCTCTTCTTTTTTTTTTACAAAGCAGATCATAGATCACATATTTTGTCTATAGCCTATAAAACAGCTTCGTAAATAGGAAGATTT